CTGGTGCATCTCTTGCTGATATAATGGCCAAGAGGAATCAAAAGCCTGAAGTTAGAAAGGCTCAACGAGAACAGGCTATCAGGGCTGCCAAGGAGGCAAAAAAGGCTAAACAAGCGTCTAAAAAGACTGCAATGGCTGCTGCTAAGGCTCCCACAAAAGCAGTGCCTAAACAAAAAAATTGTGAAGCCTGTGAAAGTTTCTGCTCCCCAAGTTGGTGGAAAACGCTAAGTGGGCACATAAGGCTTAAATAAAGATTCAGTTATAACTCTAAAAAAAATTAATTTTAATGAAAGTTTACAGACTTAGGGTTTCCGGTCGTTCATTGTTGCACTTTTCTCCCTGTCCACCCCTCCCCCATCTTTATTTCTTTTTTTTAAAACCGTTGTATTGTGGTTTGGGTCAAAGTTTATCGTGCACATTAGTTTCCCCTTGAACAATTGTTTCACGACATTGGCTGTGATCCCTGCAATAGAGCAGCACTCTTCCCACTTGCTCTCTGGATGTCCCATCTCCACTCACCCACCTTCCCTGCCCTTGCTGCCTTCTGAGTCTCAGGAAAATGCTGCCCTTTTGATCTCATATGACTTAATGTCCTGAGGCGCATGCTCCTCCTGGGTGTTACTGTTTCCTTGCTTGGCTGAAAGGTCACCTCTGCGAGTGGGTTCAGTTCCAGGTTTGAAGAGAGCCTGAGTGTCATTGTCCCAGGGCTTCTGCTGATTTGTCTTAGACCAGGAAATTTGATCTTTCCCCCCCCCCCCAGATAATTTCCCCTTTTATTTCAAGAGTAAGTAATGCTTTTTTTTTTTAAAAAAAATTATTTTATTTCATTATTTTGTGTGTGTACCATCAAATCAGATCTGACTGATACAGGAGGAGATTGCTCCTCCTTCTCCAGCAGACCATCTGGTGGATTTGAATCGTGTATCTCTGAGATTGCAGTGCAGCTTCTTGCCACTAGGCCACCAGAGCTCGCCAGTAATGCTTTTTTGAAATGTGACAATTTTAGAAAAATTTAAGATCTCTGCATATACCAACTTCCAATAATTCATCTTTTTTAGATGACCACAGTTAAATATTTCTTTGTATTGTGATAAGCATAAGTAATATGTATAAATTTATACATTGAAAATGAAAATTTATTCAAGTAGTCATATGCAAATCCCAAGTTATATGAATTTACAAATATATATTCATTTAGATACATATTTCTGTTAACACATACATACATATAATTTTTTTATCATCATTTTGTCTTTAATAAAAAATAGGAACCAATGAGAGTTGAGAGGAAACCAACAAGAACATTGATACAACAGTCCAGACAAGGAGTGATGGGCCCCAAAAGTTGGTTGCAAAGAATCTGAAGTGGTTGGTGAGGAAGACAGGGTAGGTACAGGTGACAATAAATTTACATATAAATAACATGTAATTATATGTAAGCATAATAATATGCAAACCCATAGTGTTATTGTTTGCTTTTAAAAAGATCTTAAATTTTATTTTTTTTAATATCTTAAATTTTATATTACAATAAAACAATTGTTTTAGATCACAACAAATTGTTTCCAACTTTGAGAAAAAGAATCCCAGAACACTTGACTGTGCGCATGTGAAACTTAGAAGCAGCTGTTGTCTGAACAGAGTAGGTGAGAAGTCTGATCTTTCTTATATTTTTCATTTGAGTGAAAGTTTACAAATAATATTTTTTCATTCAATTTGTTTATACTTATTTTGTTTTATAATATTGTAATTACAATTTTAGTCAACCAGTTGCACATATTTTTACAAAATTGATAATATCATTGTTATTAAGTGTCGTCGAGTACTTCTCAAAGCAATCCTCTGAATTGCCAACCTGAACCCTGCCCTGTGCCACCCTCATCGTCTCTGTCACACTACAGCCCATTGCTGAAGTCACTGTGTCATCCATCACATTGGGGGTATTCTTCTTTGCTGACCATCCATCTTCCCAGGCCTGATGTCCCTTTCCAGGAATAGCCTCATCTAGCTACATGTCCAAAGTATGAAATATCAAGTATGAAGACAAAGCAAAATAAATATCAGATGGGAAAGAGTGATTTCTTCGCTGCAACAGAAAATGTTAACTCATAAATGTAGAGAAAGGATGAAGTTGGAAAATGACCATTTGACAACTTTTGTAGCAGTGATTATTAACTAGGTTATGAAGCATCAGCAGATGTTGAAATCTGTCAGTGAAAGTGATATAAAAAGATTTTCTTTATTGTTTCAAAGTGCCTTCCCTGCTCCAACACTTACTACAAAGAGAAAGAGACTTTACAATAGCAGAGTTGTTTTGATCAACTGAACATTTTCAATCAACACTGGACAACAAGAGAAGAACACAGCGACATTTTTGTAATATTTCTACCCCAAACGCATAATGGTGATCTTGTCATGAGGATGGGTCGGCTAAACCTACACTAAAGGTGGAAGTCTTCCAAATGGGGGAAAAAAAGGACCCACACAAAAAACCAAAAGGAAAACGGCTCCCACTACTGTTGAACTGGTTCCAACATGAGAGACGCAGCAGGGACCTGCCCTTCCATCAGGTGCCTAGAAAATACTTCTCGGAAACTACGGTCCATCTTTTTCTCACAGACCATCTGGTGGAGTTGAACTACTGACCTTTCCTTGCCTGATGTGTTACAAAAAAGAACTTCCCTCTTATCCTGACAGATTCTAAAGAGGGCAATGGGTTTGGTTTTGGTTTCATTCTCTTTTTAAAGATGTCAAAGTCTTGAAGATGAAAGCTTCAAGGTCTTGCAATTGTTTAGACTGAGGGAGAAGAATGCTATGCTCACTACTGCAGAATGGCATATTCTTTTTTCCCCCAAAGAATTTTTTTTAACACTGAAGAGCAGCAGTATGTCTAAAATGGTTTCAAAGGCGTGCCTAGATACAAAGGGGTCTCCTTTGTGTTTTGGCCCCCAGCCCCAGCTGCCTTTTCTATCTTCCTGTCAGGCCTGGAGGCTGTGTGGGACAAGGGACAGAGCAGGCTCTGAAGGCACTTTCAGTGACTCCCTCTGATGAAAGGGACATTTTGGGGGTATAGCTCAAATCCACCTCTCCGCGTGGGCTCAGTTCAAGCAGCTGTGGGAAGAGCACTTAGTGAAGGAAGACAGGACCAGAGCCATCTCTGCAGAAGGTGCCCTGGGGAGTCTTGAAGTATTGACTTCAAGGTTAGTGGAGGATTTAATATCCGGGTATAGCTTACTTAAAAAGGGTAAAGTTCTCTTTGTAGTAGATGTCTTATTTCTCAAGGAGATGGGATTGACCACACACAGGGAGTGACTGTGATAATGGGTTTCCACACGGTGGAGCTGGCGAGGAAGGTGCAGGATTTCAGCCTGTTGTAAACAAGGTCACTAGGAGTTAGAGTTGACTCAAAGGCCCCTAATGATACAAATGCACAAAATGTGGTGGAGGGTGGTGTTCGCCTGCAGAGTGGTGGGGGCTGAGACCACTGAGGGCCCAGCTGGCCCAGCCTTGTCTACAGTTTAGAATGTTGGGAATCCAGAAAGAATGAGCTGGGAAGTATCTCGAGGAAGGATGGGCATTTGAGATGTGAAGAGGAGTTTGCAAACAACATTTAGAACAAGATATTATCCTCAGGTCCCTGACCGGGACAGAATAGTTTTGGGGCCCAAGTCCTGGCTTGGTTCCTTTTTCAGCTCAAGATGTAGGCAGAGTGCCCCATTGGGGTGAAGAGCTGCATGTGACCACAGGGAGAAGCAGAGGAAGCTCAGGGCTGGAGAAGACTCTAGGCCCAGGAGAGGAGCAGGGGATGGGCCTTCTTGCCTAGGGCCCTGGCCTGCCTGGGGTGGAGCTTGACAGGGTGTGCCTTGCCTGGAAGGGAGGGCAAAGGGCTCTGTCTTCTAGCCTCACTAGCTAACAAGAGTACTAGTCGCCAAGCCACCTCTCTGTCTGGGGCCTCTGAAAGGTAAATGACCTTCTAAATCCTTCTTGTTCTGTCCTGGGGGTTTGGGGACAACTTTTTCCTGCAGAGGTCCAAACACTCTGCCCACTCTGTTCGCCCCTAAGCCAGGCAGAGGCCACACTTGTCAGCCCCTTGGCATGACTTAAGGCCCCTGTGTCACCTTACAGAGGCTGATGAGATTGGAGCACTGGGGAGCAGGCACACCGTTCCCTTCCTGGCATCAGGGCCAAGCAAAGGCAGAAGGGCTCAGAGGGGGGCAATTCACTGGGGCAAGCCCCAGGTCACTGCTTCTTCTGTCTTCCTGAACAGAGCCCAAGATCCCAAGTGGCTGGAGTCCTGGGGGGCACCCAGACAGAGCTCTCATTGGACCAAGTCCTCCAAGAGCGGGATGAAGCCATTGCCAAGTGAGGGCAGGAGCTGGGGGCAGGGAGCATTCATCAGAAGGCCCTGTGCTGGTAGCAGAGGGAGGGGGCAATTGGGTACTCCTGGAAGAAAAGCTAACAGATTATAGGGCCCTGGCTCAGCATGCTTTCCTGCCACCCAAAGGAAGCGGGCCGTGGAGGTGGAACTGGACACGTGCAGGGCCAAGCTACGAGCTGTGGAGGCCCAACTGCTGGAAGCCGTAGAGGAGAAACTGAGGCTGAAACAGGAGGTGGAAGCCTGGGAGGTAGAGTAGGGAGTGGGCAGGCCTGGGATGTGTGGGGAGAGGGTCCGGGTAGCCCCTGAACCCACTCTCCTGTTCACAGGAGGACATGCAGCAGCTGGTGGGGCAGCGCGTCCAAAGTCAGCTGAAGGCGGAGTCTAGGAGCCCTCAAGGAGCCCACGGAGACCCCAGAGCCACCAGTGTCCCCCAGAAACGATCCCCCTTGGGTTGGTGGAGGCGCTGGTGATGAGAGAGATTAGCCCAGGGCCTTGGAGGAGAGATGTCTTTATTCATTAAAGCTAGAGGCCTGTTCTCTCTGCACCCTCATCCCACCCAGTGTCCACCTTAGTTCTTCTGTGAAAGCAAGTGGAGGGGCTGGAGGGCCTTGTGCCTGACGGTTCAGGTCAGGAAGCCTCGGATGGCAGCCATGAAGTCCTGTGGGCGGTCGGCATGGACCCAGTGGCCGGCGTTTGGTACAGTCTGCAGCTGTGCCCGCGGGAAGAGTCGCTTCATCTCAGGGTGGTGGCTGGGGCTGTCAGTACAGAGAAGACCACCAGAGAGGAGTGGAAGGAGGACAGTGAGAGAGGGAGAGATGGGAAACCTATTGATTCAGCACACCTGGGGGCAGTTTCTGGGTCTCCAGGAGACCTCCACCTATGCCCAGGGCACCCCCAAGCAGGACACCAGGCTGGAGTCTGGGTAAGACATGCCCTTTCCCCACCCGACTAGCTTACAGCACAAACTGGGAGTTGCCACCGAGGAGGAAGAGGGTTGGCCCAGGGTAGGAGTCCTGTTGAGGTGGGAAGTTCATGATCTCCTGCAAGTTCTGGGACAAAGCATCCAAGTTTATTCTCCACATGAATCGTTTGTCCACCTCTACCAGGTTGGTGAGCAGGAACTGCCGCACAGCTGTTTCCTATGGGGGTTCAGCAGTTGGTAGAGTGGGTATGTGGGAGCCTGGGATCCCCACTCTTTCCAACAGGACCCAGCCCTCTGCACTGTCTCAAGGCATGAGGCATCACCTGGATGACAGGGCGGAGCTGCTCATCAGCCAGTCTGCGAGCATGGGAGCGGGGCATGTCCTCGGGGATTTCTACTGCCCTCATGGCGGCCATGTAAGAGGGGAAGTCCGAGACAGATCTGGTCTCCACTGGGCTGATGTCCACAGCAATCAGGCGTTCCACCAGGTCTGGCTGTGGGAGAGAGCCAGACTGGGGGCCAGCCTCAAGGTGGCCACAGAGGCTCTTAGTAATGTAAGCCTGAACTTCACCTTGACCATCCAAGGCTCACCAGAGTCCCAGATAGCCTGCTAGGTATCTGGTAGGGTGGCTCACCCTCTGCAGGGCCAGCAGCATGGCCGTCTTGCCTCCCATGCTGTGGCCAACGAGGACGCAGGGTACCAGGCCCAACTGGACCAGGAGGTCCTGTAGGTCCTGGCTCATAGCCTCATAGCTCATGGCTGGGTCGTGGGGACTGTCACCATGGTTCCGAGCATCCACTGTCAGGACCTAGAGAACAGGGTGAGAAGGGGGCACAGCTGGTACTCACTTTTGGGGCAGAAATGTCAGAGCTGTAGCAGGAATTGCAGGTCCCTTGGTGTAGGACCTGGGGGTAGATGCCTGCCACGGGAAAGAGATGGTGAGAGGGCCTTGTTCCTGGATACAGGAGGTCCAGGTGAGAAACCTAGGGTTAATCCGACAGATGAAAAGGCCAATGTATGTGACCGAGTCTGTGAAGGTCTAGCCTGGGTGGGTGGTACTCGCAGAGAAGCCTGGAAAGATGCTCTAATAATTTCCAGTCAGGCTTAGCTAAGAGTCAGGAGCTCTGTCATCTCTAGGGGAGAAGAGGTTGATGCTGGGGCATAAAACAGCAGCACTGGCTCAGGGTGGAGTCCGCAGTCGGAGTTCTGTGACATGTCTGCTGAATGAGTCTAGATGGATGGAGCGATGCTGGAGTGAACGTGGGTTAAGCCTCCATTCTTAGAAGGATAAGGATTTTCTATTTTGAGGTTACACTTCCTTTCTCCACAATGCTAACATGCTTCAGCGGGTCCCTAGCACCAAGGGTAGAGGCTGGCTCCGCCCCTTCCAGGCCCCATCCCTATGAAAGCCCCGCCCCCGCCCGGAAGCTCACCTTTCGTCCTGTCTGGTGGGCGAGGGCTTTGGCGATAGAGTTGAAGTTGTTTTTGCTGCCGAAGAGGCCATGCAGAAAGACGAGGGCTGGAAGGTCCGCCTTCCCGTCTAGAAGCGTGTAGGAAAGCGGCAGCGACCTGGGGATGAAGATGGCAAAGCAATGGAGGGAGGGTCCCAGACAGGTATGGAGCGGGGCCTGGCTTGGGGCGGGGCCCTCGAGGCAGGCAGGAGGGGGAGGAGTCAGGCTGGAGAAGGAGGAGCGGAGTACTGACTCCTCCGGGGCGCCCTTGACTGACCTCAGTTTGGCCCTGCTTTTGCCGCCGCTGCTGCTGCAGGTTGCGACTGGCACCCATGAGAAGCTGGGATAGCAGGGGCCTCGGCCCCCAAGAGGGAACCTCCAGGCTTGGGCCCAGCGGAGCATGCCCAGGTGCCACTACCCGGCGCGCACCTCGTGCTTGATGTCTTGCCCTAGGCCCCGCCTTCTCTGCAGAGTCTCCAGTTCCGACTGGAGCTCCGCCCACAACCTGTCTCCGCCCCCTCCGTCATGCCCAACTCTGGTCACGTTTTCTTACGTAATCGTAGGGCGCCGGCTACTCCCCTAGCTCCTCCCCTTGCACAATTACGTAACCCCGGCAGGTTTCCCGCCCGCCGCAGGGGGCGCTGCACCTGTTTACGCCCCGCGCGGGGTCTTAAGGTTCTGGCTCCGCCCTCCCCTTGTAGCCCCTCCCCAGGCGGCATCTTAAAGTTCTGACTCCACCCTCCCTTTGTAGCCACGCCCCGCGCGGGCTCCGGGCGGGAGTCCAGGTAGCAGCCTGGGAAACCGGTTTCCACCGCGCGGATTCCTCACCTCTCAGCGGCCGTGGGGCAGGCCCTTGGCAAGCTCTGGAGGCCCTGCTTTGGCTTGTGTCCAGCCCCGCACCTGTCCTGCCCTTTTGCCCCCACGCGCCGCCTTGGGAGGCTGCCATACTTTCTGTGCCGGGGGCGCGGGCGAGAGGCGCCGGAGTGGTTCTAGTCGCCAGGGCACCCGCCAGCTCGAAGGCGCCATGCTCCTCGGAGGAGGGCCCAGGCTCCCGTCCCATCCTAACGCAGTTGATGAGTAAGAGCTAGGAGAGACTCTGGAGATCACTTCCAAATTCCCCCTAACGCGGGGGAAATAAGGTGCAGGGAGGACCAGTGACATGGCTAAGAGGCGGACCTAGAGCCACAGTCGTCTGGGCTGCTGTTCGCAAGTCCAAGAGGGAGGCCGGGTGTTTGTAATAGCGCCGATCTGCGCTACCTACCCCACGCCAAAACACCTCGGGGAACCCCAAGTGAATGTCCATCTCCAAAACGCGGCATATCCTGCCTGGAAATCGCCTTTCTTGATTCCTGACTGTCCTCTGTGTCTGAAGTCACGTGTCTGTGGTGCCAGTACCACTCCACCCCTAAAATTGAGAGTTGAAACTTCATAGTTTTCCAAGCGCCTCCTCCAGGTCTTCTCGATCTTCCCTATTGCAGCCCTGCCTGGCACCCCAGGTATGAACTGCAGGGCACACCTTCATGTTTACCCCACCACTCCCCCTGCTGGAGACACATTGTCAGTTGCCCCATAACCCCACCTCCTCCTCAAGCCTTGCAGATTTCCCCAGCTGAAATCAAACTCTCCCACTCTGTGTTGAATATCTCATGGGTTGCCAAAAGAGAAGCAGATCTGTCTTGGAGCAAGTGCAAACAGGGTCCTTCTCCGAGGCAAGAATGAGGTGAAACTTGATCTCATATACGTATGTTGTCAGGAGGGGCCAGTCTTTGGAAAACGACAATATGCTTGGAAAAGTAGTCAATGAAAGAAAGAAGACCCTCGATAAGATGGATTGACACAGTGACTGCATCAGTGAGCTTGAGAATAGTGGCGATCCTGACAACAGCATAGGACAGGTTTTTCTCTGTTGTTCATAGCGTAGCTATGAGTTGTAGTGGGTTTACCGACAACAACAGTTGTGTAATATACAGAACTGGCCTGGCCTGTGTGTACCACAGGCTGGGGCTTCTCCAGGCCTGGCCTTGGAGGTACAAAGGGCAATAATCATTTCACTAAATGATTGTGGAGAAGATCAGACACTAGCTGAGGTTCAGGTGAAAGTTCACCTGGGACTGGGCCAAGGGCCTTCCAGCTAACTCCCCCCTCCCTGAGGTGACACCTGAGCCTTATGGGCTTACATCTGACCCTTCCCCACCTCCTTTGGCTGTCCTCATGGGATTGAGGGCCAGTCGGATAACTCTCCATCTCATTGCCCAAGTAAGGGTCTGCATCTTGAGTCCAGGGACTGACCAGGAGGTGGGTTCTAATTTGAGGAGGGCTCTCACGGTCAATGGAGACTCTCAACACCCCAGGGGGTGTGGTCAATGACTATCAGCACAGCAATAAGGTGAGTCAGAGTCTGGCTAGTCCAGGGATGGAGGGTCCTTGGAGGAGACAGCCCCTCAGGGTATGTTTCTACTGTTGGCAGATTCAGGTGAAAGAGACTGACATAGTGACTGAGTTGACACAGACTCAGTGACTTCAAAAGTGGCTTTTCAAACACCACCAGGCTTCATGTTTCAGCTGGTAACCTGAGCCTGGCCCAAGACCCTTGACCATCTGCCAAGAAGCCCGTGTGAGCCCCCATCTGGAGGCAAAAGCGGCCTGGAGACATTGGCCCCCAGCCATGTCATGTGGCCAAGGAGGGCCTGGCAAGCAGAAAAACCAGTCTGCTGGAGGTTTCTACTTGAGCAGCCTGGAGGAAGGTGGCTGGAGAGGGAGGGGCTGTACCACCCAGGAAAGCCTGATGGTGGCATAGTGGGGAGGGCCATCTGAGGGCCTCCCAGCCCTCTTCCCCCAGCTGATTAGCAATGACCTGTGGAGCCCCTAGAATTCCAAGATAGGTGTGGAGGGAGCCTGGGAGTGGGGAAACCCCCACCTTGCCGGGGAGGCCCTCTATACCCAGGTACTTTCCAGCAGCCACCACCTTCCTGAGAACTGGGAGGTATTAGTGGTGAGGAAATAGAGATGTGAAGTAACCAGCTCAGCCTGGCTTCCTCCAGATGCTGACCCCTCGGGCGGGGTGGCCCCCAAGGCAGGGTTAAGGGGACTGAGGCTGCAGGACCAGGGGGCAGTTCAGGTGCCAGTGTGGGGGACGGCGGCGCCAAAAGGGTTAAGTTGTGGAGGCGGTGGGGACCCGTCCTTGCACCTGGCTCAGTATCGGTCACGTGGCCGGGGTTTCACCTGCCCCGCTGAGCAGGGACAATCAGGCCGCTTGTTCCTAGGCTGGTCGCCATGGTGACAGGAGTGCGCCAGCGAAGGTCATGGGGCAAATTCCTGCCCATTAGGGGGTGGGTGGCGGGGGAGACAGGGTGTCAACTGTGTAGGGGACCTGGGTTGGGGGCTCCCGGAAGACAGCCCAGGCTTCTGTGAAACTGCCCCCAGAAGGCCCCTAGGCAGTTCTCTGCCTCCTCCTCTACATATTGAACCTGAATTTATTAAACCTCGTCCACGCACCAGAATTTTAATATACATTATCTCATGTAATCCGCCCAGCAGTCTTCCACACGGGCACAGTAATCCCCGCGGGCCTGCGCCCCCACCCTGCAGGACTCACCTCGCTCCTTGAGAACATTTCTTCCTCCTTTCTTCCCGTAATTAACTTGGGGGCCTCCAACATGTGCCAGCCCCTTGCTGGATGCAGCTGTGAACAAAGCAACAAGCAAATTAGCAGACCACGGTGGGTTGTGTGGACTGTTTACTTTCTCCAGAGCTGCTCAGGGTGGCCCTGGGGACCTTCACTGCAGTGCGCATGAGCTTCTCTTATCCCTGGTGTGTACGACATCTCTGAGGCCACCCAACACCCCACCTGGCTCCTCTGCTGTCATCCGTGCCTCTGTCCCACGCGCCCCCACAGGCCTCTGTGAACAGCTAAGGTGGCCACCTCTACACCCCCACTGTCTTATCTAAAATGGGCAGGATGCTGAAACCCAGCAACCTAGTCTCCCCTTGAGAAGCCCCACCCAGTGTTCTCTGCTGGACTTTGAGAACCTTCATTGAACACCTGCTGTGTGTGGGCACTGGGGATGCTCAGGTGAGTCCCAGCTCCCAGCACAGAACACACAGTCTGGAAAGGCAAGAACTGAGAAAATGCACAAAGGGAAGTGGTTCTCCTAGACTAGAAATCTGAGACTCTGAGATGGCCTGAGGCCAGGGAGGGGGACTCTGAGAGTAAGCCAGGTGCGGGCGCCTTAGGGGATGGTGTCCCAGAGGTGGGACCATCCTGAGCTACCCTTGTCAGCACATTTCCCAAGGGAGAAGTCTAGCAGTTATTCTAGATACTTCCTTCTGTACCTCCCCCCCTTCAATTCCTCTACTGTTTTTGTGCACCGACTCATAGTGACCCTATAGAAACCCTACAGGACAGAGTGGAATGGCCCCATGGGACTTCCTAGACAATAATTTTTGAAAGTCAACATCAAGGAGACAAAGATTCTCACTATTGGGTCAATTGACAGCACCATGATAGATGGTGAAGAGATTTAAATGAAGAAATTGTTAACAATTACAGATTGCTCAGCTCCACAGTCAACACTCTTTTTTTTCTTTTATTTTATTATTTTTGTGTGCGTGTACCGTCAAATCAGATCTGACTGGTACTGGAGGAGATTGCCCCTCCTTCCCCGGCAGAACATCTGGTGGTTTCGAACCGTGCACCTCTGGGATTGTAGTTGCAGCGCTTCTTGCCACTAGGCCACCAGAGCTCCCCCACAGTCAACACTCTTGGCACCAGCAGTCAGGAAATCAAAAGATGAATTACACTGGGGAAAAAAAATCTGCTGACCTTTCCAGAGTACTGAGAAGCAATGATATCAGTGTAAAGACTAAGGTGCGTCTGGTCCAGGCCATGGTCTTCACAATTACTTGCTATGCATCAGAGAGCTGGACAATGGCTAGGGATTATAAAAGGAGAATTGATGCCTTTGAGTTGTGTGTGTTTGACCATACCATGAACCACCAGGAAAACAAAAAGATCTGTCTTTGAGAGGTTGAAATCACATTTCTCCTTGGAGGCTAGGATTTTGAAGCTCTGTCTTACATGCTTTGGGCATGTGGCCAGGACGGAACCAGTCCTTGGAGAAGGACATCATGCTTGGAAAGATGGAGCAGCAGCACAGGAGAGGAAGACCCTAGATGAGACGGATTGATACGGTAATTTGGGCACTGAGGATAAGTGTGTTGGAGTCAGGGAGACTAGCTCAGGACAGGGCAGGTTTCTGTTGTACACAGGGTCGCTATGAGTTGCAGGTGACTCAACAGCGCATAACAACAACAACAGATTTTGCTGGAGCAAATCACTGAGTCTTTTTGCTCACAGAATGGCTGGTCGGTTGAAACTTTCGTCTTTTAGGCTGGCAGTCTAA